TCCATACCATCCTGACAACAGGTAGTGGTAATAGATATTCTCACCTATCGTGAACCAATTGAGTTTGGAACTGATAGAGGAGGCTGGTTTGTAATGAACAAATACTGCATCGTCTGCAAAGAGTACCTGTGAGGGTAGGTCAATGGTAGGCATTGTATAACCTGGATTGAACAATAGTTGTAGGTTATAGGTGGTTGATATTGCACTGTCTTCAATCATCATGGTGTCTATATCACAACTAGGGTTTGGAGGCCTAGGCTCGATTCTTGAGGTGATTTTGACGTATAGCGAGACAACTATAGTGTAGGCTATCATCTTAGGTTGTTCTTGACTCTCTTTCCAGTAGTTGTGATGAATAGTGAATGATGGCTGAGTACTATATCTCTCTACCCTGAGGGTTTATTAGTTTGGTAATTTACTTGGATATTGACACTCATTCACCTAGGTTTAACGCCAACTCACATTGGTTTGAAATATAGCAAAGGGGTTAATAGTAAAATTAGATGTGTTGTAAGACGTATCATTCTGTTGAAAGGTATCATCTAAATATATTACCACTTGTGCGTGTCTAGTAAAAGTATCAAAAATAAAAAATGATTTTGACTATTTCGACTATTTCAGATATCCGAAATGATCCATTTTGACTTCATGTATAATTAGACATATTTTTTATATAACAAAAAAAAATTCTCTCTCTTGTTAGATTTTATCTAAGGATCTTCTTTAAAAAGTGCAGTTGCACTTAGCTTGTGAACAAAATAAAAAACCCCTCTTTTCAAAAATATTTTTCTTTTTATTTTTCCAACTCCTATTCATATAAAAATTATCGTAAAAGTTTAAATTATGTTATTTTTTATTAAAATATTTTTTTTTACCTCTCTTTAGTATATTTTTTTTTCATTTTTTTATTTTCAAAATATTTTGTCTACAAAAGTGAGTATCAAGGAATATTTAATTAATAATGAAAATTAACATACTTTGAATATACAAATTAATATAATGACATTTTCTATACTTTTTAAACATCAACACTCTGCAGATCTTTGAAGTCAAAGACTGCGAAATCTCATGTAATATTTTCTGAACTTGACTGACTGTGTGATTTAGACCTCATCTTGTGTCAGAGATCAGTTGTAATCTGAATTGACAGATTAAATACCTGTGTTATTTCAGGTCATAAATTTATTTAACTTAATCTTTATTATGACATGTTATTGTTTTCATCAAAAAAAACTTTGTGGTAAGTTTTATTATTAGAGTAACAATTATATTATCATTGTCTGAAAGGAAAGGTTTATCATTTATAGTTAAAAGCTAATATTTAGAGTAAATTTGATAATGAATAAAAAATTAAATAAAAAATTTCAACTGAAATGATTGTAGAATGTTTATCCATGAATGTCTTCTATAATTTAAATTTTAAACAAATTAAAATTCATTCAATATTTATATAAACAATTGAATTGATTTTAACTAATTTGAATTTCTTGAAATTATTGAGCATAAGAAATCTGTTTTTTTATTAAAGCAATCAATCTGAGTTGTCAAATCTGAAACTGGATTAAATTGAATTAATGCAAGTGATCTGGGTGACCTAAAGTCAGTTTCAATCTTTAACGTTAAATCTGAAGAGTCTCTTTTAGAACTTAGTGATATGGATGCATTTGTATTAAGTAGTCACTGTAATCTGAAATTAACTAGACAACTTAGCTAGAAACTTAATAGAGTTATATTTTAGGTTGCTTCTTTTATAAATTTTTTAGCATAAATGATCGGGTTTTATAGCTACTTCTTTGAAAAATATATACTATTAATTGAAGGGTTACATTTTTTTATTTTTCAGAAATTTACTTTAAAAAGGAGATAATGAAGTAGTTAGAATTCTGCAATTCGATTTGATATTTGAATATTTGATTCTATCAAATTCAAATTAAAGAATAATTTATTTGATCAAATCCAAATTAATGTTTGATTAGATTCGATTAAATTCAAATCAATAGTAAAGCCATTTTCAAAGCTTCAGAAGTGGCTCTTACTAAAAAACCCATAGTAAAAAGCACTTTTGCAGCTTCAGAAATGCCTTTTTTACTAAGAAAACTATAGCAAAAAATGCATCTACAGCTTTGAAAATGCCTTTTTTATTAAGAAAAGCATAGTAAAAAGCATTTTTGCAGTTTCAGAAATGCTTTTTTTACTAAGTAAAAAGTGCCTTTGTAACTTCAAAAATGCTTTTTTACTAAAAAAAACATGGTAAAATACCTTCACAGCTTCAGAGATACTATTTTACTAAGAAAACATAGTAAAAATGCCTCTGCAGCTTCAGAGATACTATTTTACTAAGAGAATATAGTAAAACACGCCTCTGCAACTTTAGAGATATTTTTTACTAAGAAATCTAATAAAAAACGCATCTGCAACTTCAGAAATGTTTTTTTACTAATAAAATTATTACGAAGTTAAGATGACAGTTATTATTAAGTTTTCTTAGTAAAACTGAAAATGAGATGGCAGTTATTACCAAATTTTCTTAATAAAACTGAAGCTATGATGGTGGTTATTACTAAGTTTTCTTAATAAACTGAAATCGCAATGGTGGTTATTACTAAGTTTCTTAGTAAAACATAAACTGCAGAGTTATTTTATTAAGTTTAATAGTAAAAATTCACCTGTTACTAAACTTACTTTGTAAAAACTATCTTTGAAATTTTTAGTATAATTACTAATAATTTTTTTAATTGAGACTTTAGAATAACTTTATTTTAATATATCATTGTAAAAATTTAAAAATTTTTTATATTCGATTTGATTTGATCGATTTAATTTGATTTAATTTGATTTGATAAATATTTGATTCAATTTGATTTGATTCGATCAAATTCAAATGAATTCGAATTGATTTGATCAAATATTTGAGTTCAATTTAATTTAATTCAATTCAATTTGAAAAAATCAAATCAAATTCAAATTGCTTAAATATTTGATTTGATTTGATTTTGAGGAATCCTATCTATATTACTAATCAAGTGAAGTAGATAATCATATTGAATCTGACAATAAAGAATAAATTTTAAAAATAAATGCTATTTTTCAATTGAATCTTTAGTTATTTTTTATGAAATTGTAGTTCTTCTTCTATTTGACAAATTATATTGATTAATAAATTCATTTAACCATTTGTGAAAAAATTTGAAATTATTGATTGTTGTATAGATCTACTTCATTTCAGCAGTTATTGTAAGTTTCTTAACCATTTTAATTACTATATTACAAGCTACAGTATTACTTATTTCTCTTAAACTTTGAGATTCAAATAATAATTTTTCTAATTTAGGTAATGCAGCTGACCTTTCAGAATATAATTTTTGAGTATACAAAGCTAAAGTTATTAGTTCTTCTTTTTGGTTTACCCAATACCTAATTTGTTTGATCTCAATATCAAACATTTTTGCAACCTTTTTTTACTAAATCTTTGAAAATATTGTAATATTATTAATTTTTTATGTATGTATCTATACATGAAGTCGAAATGGATCATTTCGGATATCCGAAATGGTCGAAATGGTCGAAATCATTTCGACCATTGGAGG